TTTTGATGAGAATAACTGTATATTGTGAATATAGGCTACAGAGTATACTGTATACATTATAAGATAAGATACGATATACTTTATATATCACACAGAGTATGTACAGTATATATTTTTTTACATTAGTACTGTATACATTTTTACATTTTCTCCTGGAGGTGTGCCGCAAGATTTTTTCAGTGAAAAAAGTGTGCCTTGGCTCAAAAAAGGTTGAAAAACACTGCATTAAAGAGTCTACACGTCAAAATGTCAAAAGTGAGGCTTACTTGAACAGAAACAGTTCAATTCAAAGAAAACCCTGAGTGACATAGGCAATCTTTAAATAAACTAACAATAAATGAGTAATATTTACTTACTGGGAAATATCTATTTAAAATAACTTTGATATCTGAAGTACAATTGAAGTTAGGGTTTACAGTGTATACAGTAAATGCATATTTATCTGTTTTATTGCTTAATTTCTGCAGCACATTGAGATTCAGTTAGAACCAATACCAAGAATAAGGTACAGTATGTAGGAGGATTTTCTACTTCTGGGTGGATCATCAAGACTATTCGTTTTCCCAAATGTCAATCATTCTACTGATACATGGTCGTCAAATAAGATCAGAAAGTTTTGCCCAAAAAGTGGAGAGGGCAGTTCATTCCTAAAATTTGGGGAAATCCTCCTATATACCTTTAAGTTTTTATACTTTTTTTATTACAGTTTTTCTCGGTCGCTCTCGGTCGCAATTTGCACAACTGTTGGTGCATTTCTCAGAACAATTAGTGCGAACTGCAGAACCTTCTGGATAACCTGCAAAAGTGCGTCACTTTCTCAAAATGAAAAGTTATGTCCTCAAAAGCAAGTTCAAACGTCAATGAATCTGTCTGTGTCGTCAAAATAATAAGTCCTGACAACATTGAGTATGAACAACACCGTCAAATGACTTAGTCATGTTTTCATTGTGAAAGTTCACTCTCTCTGTGTTTTCAGAGTAAAAAAGTCAGATCTCGGTGACACTTGAGCACGACTATGAGCACACTATACACGACCTATACGGCCATTTACAGTAAAAACTACAGTAAAGTTACACAAAGACTGTATTTAGAGAGTTAACTGACATTCTGTAACATATATGTATATGTCTATGTATGTATGTATGTGTGTATCTATGTATGTATGTACTGTATGTATGTATGTGTGTATCTATGTATGTACTGTATGTACTGTATGTATGTATGTATGTGTGTATCTATGTATGTATGTACAGTATGTATATGTATGTATGTGTACTGCATATGCTCTTTGTATTTTTGTTGCACAATGCTGTAGAATTGCAGGCACATACATGTACAGTATATACATAGAACAAACATACAAGAAATATCATTATGGTAGAACTGTGACAAATATAAACAATAAAGCACACCTCAGAGTGAAAGCTGAAATTCACCTGAGATAAATTGTTCAATTTAAGAAAGATTTACAGGAAAAAAAGATGAAGGAATGTATGAAATTAGCTTGACAGTTATGATTTTGAGAACTAGTTCAACAATTTTGTATGTGATGACCAAAGCGATGAAATGAGGACAGTTAGTTTTATAGTGAATGACTATTCAGAAGTGATAAGTATGTTTCATTCTGACTGACAGGACAGAAGCAAATGATGATGTTGAAAAAACGCTGAGAATTGTATGAAAGTAACTGATACATGAACAAAAGCATTTGAAATGTGTTCAGAGGAATGAGAAACTGCCATGATCATGTGCACCAATGACCCAGTGTTGTGGAAGTTGAACAAATAGTTTTGAGAACTTTTAGTCTGATGTGAAAAATGCACCAAAGCGAATGAGAAAAACTGTAATATTTTGACTCTATCCACCCATCGCTCTCAAATTCAATAGTCTTATCAATTAGTCATCCCTATTAGAAATGTTTATTCAATACTGATAGTTGCTGATTGATATTGCAAAAAATTGCCTTTTTACAACTCTCATTTGACCTCATCTACATTAAACATATTTGAAATACTTAGCTATTTCCTATCTCAACTTTGTACAGAAACAATCATAAATCGAATCTAACTAATCTAATATCAGTGCTTTGTTTCTGGCATGGGTCGATAGATAGATAGATAGATAGATAGATAGATAGATAGATAGATAGATAGATAGATAGATAGATGACCCGAACACAGACACAGACAATAAACAGACAATAAAAATATCTAAACTTTCAAAAGGCACTCATACCAATGTTTCCACAGTGGCGAAGAGTAACGCACCGCACTGCACACAACACTAGATAACAAAACAATCACAACACTTTTGGAATCATTCAGGCGACATATTAACTTAAACATCAGATTTCTCAAGATAGTATAACTGCATTTCTGTGTGTCTCTAAAAAACATAATTATAGCAGAAGTCACTTGTCTCTTTCAAAGCATTTTCTGCAAATTTGTGTCACCAATTTAGTCTGTTGTCTGCCTGGCAAGTCATTTGAAAACATCTGAATATTTTCCACTTCATCTGGGCTCATATGTTGCATCTATGTCTTTTAGAACGATACTCACGAACATTTTCTTTTTCGGGCTTTACCTGGGGCCGTAGCAAATATAAAGCCTTAAAATAGTGTGCACCTCGCTGGCTGCTTCCCTTTGAAATACATTGTACTGACAGAGAGAAAAAAAGATCCAGTGGGCATCAGTAATGTGAATTCTGCTTTCATGTTGATGCTTCAAAAGCGTGATGATAATTTTCAGCCTGCAGTAAACTGGAGTTTGATTGAGGAGGCAGTGTAGAAAGCCTCGATAAGCCAGGGTTTTGTGTTGGGCTGAAGTATAAGGTTTGCAGACCATGAAGCAATCAAGAAGCCTAAATGTGTGGAATGTAACGAGGCCCCTGGCCCTTGATGAGTCTATCAGCCGACCCTCTGTAGTCTTTGATGCATGCTCTTAACCCTTCACCCGAATCCAGGATTTTATCGAGCTGTAAGAAGAGTTCTCACTAATGATTCTCCATCAATGTTTTCATTAAGAGTCAGTTTAGTCCAGCTTTCAGAACATTTGTTACAAAGATGGTTTTGGTAAACGCTGTAGTGTAAACAACTCCCAGGCCAGCCAGCTGTTTCATAATCCTGACAACATGTGTGTTAAATAGACGGACTGGTGATAAACTCATTTTGGTCTATACAGTCTATAGTGGGACGTCATACACTCTAATGTCCTCCGCCAGACAGGTTATTTTTTCATCTGGGTTTGTATTTTAGCAAAATAACTCAATGTAAAAGGCAGATTTGAATAATAATTAAAGTGAATCTCTGGCCTGGGAATACTCATGCTGCTGTGTGTGAACTGCACTTGTGATATTTAGTCTGGTGTGAGCAAGGCCAGTCAATCTCTGGAATGAGACCCAGAACGAATGATTTGATTTTGGAGGTGGTCCGGATCACAATCTGGATCCAGGATTTTTTTTTAAAGTAATGGAACTGTGCCTTTTTGCAGAAGTCAGCTCTCTAGTGTGTTACTGTTATTTCCACTTCATTACAGTAGGAATTGTTATGTAATAACAAAAACAAGACTGGCTCTGAGCTTCAAATCTATTCCAACATCTCCTTAGCCCTCTTCAGGGAGCACACAGACCCCTGTGGAAGAAACACATTTTGACCATCTGTATCTGGGGTATTTTCTCTCCGCCCCTCCCTAGAGCTCCTCATGACCACAAGGGATTTGACATTGTTTATTCATTTATATGCAACATTCTTACAAATTAATTATATACATTTAATTGCATGTATTTGAATATCAAAGTCTCAATCTCTAAGAGTGAGTATTCCACTCTGAATGCTCCGGTCTCCACAGTGCCACACCTACGCCCCGTTGGAGACGGTGTGAATTGGAGAATCTCAGTGAAGCACCTGCTTTAATCTGAGCCCTAACACGAGGAACATTGTGTCTCCATGTAGTGTGGAAGGTTTCTGCTCTCGAGTGCACATCAGGGGTGAGCTATAGGTGTCATCGCACTCTGCCCGCTCCCAGGATTGGAAAGATGACAGTACTTCAGTAAATGTATCTTTTTTTACTCAAACAAGTAAATGGTGCTGTTTGGAAGGCTGAATTGGAACAAAGAAGAATTTTCTACATATAGCAAGGCAGAAACAAAATACATAGTGGTTATGCTTCTCACTGGACCATAATGCCGCCCTCATCTTGGCTTAACCCATAGAACTCAGACATTCAAATATTTGTGGAATAAAATTATCTGGACTATATCTGGAAAGCAGCATTCAACGACAAAATTTGGAAATGCAGCATATTTGCTTCTTTGGGTTCTTGGGTGCATATTGTGCACCTAAGAACGGGGCCAAACTTGCATGTGAAAGCCAGATCCTGTCAGACCTCTGGGAACACCAGGAGCCACAGTGGGGCGGCTGCGGCTATAAAATGCTAAACTGCTGATGTGTCCTTAGGCAAGACACTTCACCCCCATTGCCTACATTGAGTCTGGATGTGTGTGTGAATGGTTGATGGTGGTCGGAGGGGCCGATGGCACATACTGGTTGCCTTGCTTCTTTCACTATGCACCAGGGCAGCTGTGGCTACAGTACTTGTTTGTATGGAGTGAAAGAATAATGACACGTGAAGCGTCTTTGAGTGTCCAAAAAAGTGCTATATAAAACCAACATATTATTATTTTTATTAGTCATTCTTCTTTTGTCATAATCATTGAACTTTATGTTGCATATTTGTAACCAGGGGTGCTACTTTAGCTCAAGTTTACTTTTTACTTTTCATTTACTCAAATGACTTTTGCTATACTCCTAATTCCACACACCTCTTGTTTTGTTTCTCTGAACTTGTTCTCATCTCCTGCGTGCTGCCCTGTAACATCTCCCCGAGTGAAGGCGCCTTGACAATCTCGAGGCCCATCGCCCGCGTGGCCTGAGGGGTTTGTGCAGTCAGAGTCTGGGCACGTTTCAGAGCGGCGGCGCTGACTGACCCACACTTCCCCTCGCCATGTCACCAAATGACTCCTCTCCCAAGCGTCATCAGAGCTGGCAGTTTGACAGACAGGTATGTAGTCATACAAACACCACAGTCCTCATGGATCATGTATTAAGACAGCTCCAAGAGAGATACACCCCTATATGCCATAATGTCCACAATTGGACCTCTCTCAGTGCCTTTTTATGTGCAAATGTTCTCAATGCATTGCAAATTTGTTCCATGTGGAAATCCCCATAGCCCTTTGTTTTTCTGACACTCAGTAGTTTTTTTCTGTTTGCATTACAATTACTATGTGTAAAGAAAACCTGGATTAGTCCTTTTGCAGTCCTGGTTTAGACCTGGTTCATACCTAGTTAAGTCCTGCTTTAGCCAGTACACCATAAGTACCGTAAGTATGTTGTCTGCGTATTCATCCTTACTTTTATAGTTCCGAAAGACTTTTGTGGTATAATTTTCTTGGTTATATCCCATAGACCTAGACAAGTCCTGCTCTGGTTCTGGTTCAGTTCTGCTTTAGAATCTGAAATGCAGACGCAGAGGATGCGTTGCGGTGGTCAGTTTGTGTGAGCCCTGTTTTGCTCGACTATCAGAATCCTGGTTGTTGCGCCACACAGCTGATGCTCGCCGGTTGGATCAGTTGTCCGTATGCCTTGGGGCGCTGCTTCATCCTCACCGGCGGCTCTTTCTGCTTGATTTTCTGTGCCGAGGGGCGTGCTGCGAGCCGCCATAGACCTCATTCCTGGTGGTATCAGCAGTTTGTGTTCATGGGGTTTCCATGGTTTCTCCCTGTTCATCTGTTCATCTTCGTTCAGGTTGCACGGTCGTAGTTTGGGATTTGACGTTTGAACTACATTAGACGTATCTGGGTGGTTTCCCTCTTGCCGCACATGTTCGGTTCATTTTTGGTCGGTGTTGTCAGGTGGTGATGGTGGAGGTGGCACTATACACCATCTTTTTTTCCTGTTATTGGTTGCGCAGATGCGAGTCCGCGTCTCTGTGCTGTGCCTTGAGAGGTGGCCTGAAGCACCATATCATTGTATCATCATGGTCAAGCCACATGCCCATGGGCGAGGCAGCTTTTTGTGACTTCACCAGTGCTCTGGGGGTGTTTCACCAGTTGGCGCCTCAACCATTGGTAAAAGTGCTATCCCCGTACTGATGCCGTGCCTGCTGGGAGTCTCCACAGTCTTGGGGTCTGTGATAAGTTCCTGCGATTGCCGCCCGGTGACTTACAAAGACATATTTATAAAGTCAGATGTTTGTTTTGTCCACGATTGCACCACATCGACATGCCATTTCAACAAACGCTGCTTTAACAATGACTATCTTAACACCGATAAATCTCAGTGATTCTCAGCAGGTAAACTATAATTGCGGAACTATAAACTGCTGCTTCTTTGAAATTCTTTCTAGCATGCGACCCATACAGTCATCCCTCCATGGTTGGTATGTATTTTATTGTTAGAGTGCCCCCTGTGGTCCAGGTCTGAATTTAGACACAGATCTATCAGTTGTTGTTCATGTTTATGTGAACAGCGCAGAGCGAACAGGAGATACAGGGAAATACACAGGACTTGTTTTAATGTGATTAGGGCTGAACAGAGTTTATGGACTCATTATTCTGACTCCATCAAGTTTTAGTAGCGAAGAGTATGTGTAACAAGAGGCAAAACTTCGTTGCAGTTTTGACAACAACGCTTTCGCCATTTTGGACTGAACCAGAGACGGCTACCATAGCGACATAATATTCCATAAAACAATAACATTATGTCTGAAAATAAATGTAAATATGGAATAAATTAAATGAAACCGGCAGCTTATGTTCAAACATTGTGAAAGGCACAAGTTTTGTTCACTGCAGTTCTTTATGAAAAACTGTCTTGGAGGATTTCAGGGTCTAATTCATTCTTTTAATTTTCTATTCATATCTTTCTGTAAGCACAATTCTGTGGACTTTTCTTAATGCACAGGGTGTGAGATTAAGATGAAGAGATCCCTTTTTGTCACACTGTGGGGAAATTTCAGTGTTGCATCACCAATTACACCACCAACATTAGGAGCACACAGTACATGATAAATTAATAACAGCCCATGATAAATTAATAACACCTCTATACTAAAATAAAATACAATGACATCTCTAACTCTAGCATGAAAAGAAGCAGTATAACATCTCTATCTTCAGCATAATAAGAAAATAAGTTTAAAATCTCCAGCTTTAGCATGATGAAGAAGCAAGACTTGAGAACAAACCCCCCTAACTTTAGCATTATAAAGAAGCATGTATAAAACTATATTGTATTTTTTTGTGCAAGAAATATATAGTTGTATGTATACATCTGTACATGTTAGCAGCATGAGGGTCTGGGATAAAGTGACTCTGCTATTTTGTCCTGTTTTGTTCCAAATAGTTTAATAATTGGAGGGGTATTTATTGCAATTCCGTCTCTGCTCCTAAAAACATATTCTAAGTTCTATTCTTATGTATTTCTAACCACTGAAGATAGATTTTTGTTGCTCTTCTCAACAATCCCACACCCCCAACTGCATCTTTTCGTACTTTTGGTTTTTCCCCACAGCCTCCTCTTCACATCCTCGCTCTCCTTCATGACGCAAAGTGCAGTTTCCTTACTCCTAATTAGAAAAAAGGCCCCTGTAGGTTTCAGTTACAAAGCAGAATATTTACATTGAGCAGTTCAGCCTTGGGTTTGTGGGTCAGGCAAAGACACCCACAAAGACAACCTTCATATTAATAACGCAAAATGTTGTTTGCTTTGCATATTTACTCAAACAGACCCCTGTAAGGTAAGGATTTTGTTCAGTCATTTTTGCGTAAAGGAGAATAAGCAAATCCCACTTTGAACTGTTACCTAGCAACAGCTGCTCTAAGTGAGTGAAGACAGAAGTGCTGGAAGGACCGGCTCTGGATTGGACCAAATTTAAGAATGGATTGGGAAAACCGTCGCCCACAAAATTACAAAATCTAAAAATTTGAGACAAGTCTGACAGATCAATAACACATTTCTCCCGATATCGCTCAAAAGACAGTAAGTTTGCAATGTTTTCTTACATGTCCTGCAATGAGAAAGCTCTTCATTTTCGCTGCAACTGTAAAAACACTGTGTTCTGTTGATAAATGGAAAATGAAAAGGCTGCCTCAAAATCCTTCATAAATCATTGTCCCAACAGAAAGTCTTGTAAAAGTAAAATGCTGTCTTCATCCATGTTATCTATCATTATTGTCAGAAAGAGCCTGTGTGAGTCACTATTTCACACTTTGGGCTGTTTGGCTGAATAAAGGTTGTCCTCTCTATTTTAACTTTTAGGTCGGAATAAGGTGATCTAAAGATGATAGATGTCAAAAAGGCATGCAGTGTGAAAACTGCATTTATTGTTTGAAAGTTAGCTCGGAAATCAGCTTTTGGGTTACATTCCAGTTATCAAGTAGACAAACTTGTATGGCGCATTTTTGGACATTCAAAGACGCTTCACATCAGGAATACAATTTCAAAAAGGGGAAAATCTTGTCTGAACAGATGGGTTTGGAGTACTGATTTAAAGTTTGGTAATGGGCAGTGGGAGTGAGTTCCAGAAGGTCCGGCGCGGTTAGTGCAAGTGATGGGAGTAAGGAGGTTGGAGTCGGCTGAGCGAAGGCAGCCAGGTTATGGAGGGACTTATAGGTGAGAAGAAGGAGCTTGTATTGGATGCGATATTGACCGGAAAGCCAGTGGAGCTGCTGGAGGACGGGGGTGATGTGTTCTCTGGACCGGGTGTGGGTGAGGAGGCGGCCAGCAGAGGTATGGATGTATTGCAGTTTTTGGAGATGAGAGGTGGGATGTATTACAATTACTATCCAACTCGCCAGAATCTTCCTGCCTGTGACACATAAACACTGAATACTGATGTAATTCACCTGCTGGGGTTCAGCTGCAAAACGGTTATGACTACTTATTTTTGTATTTTCTGTCATTTAAATATATGTGTGCTGCTATATTTACCAAATAAAGGTCTGTCCCTTTTTTGTTCCTCACATATGATATTGTATATTTGCGGCGAACAACAGTTTTCATGGGAGAGACCACAAAAATCTCTAAAAACAGAATGTTGCATAATACTCTTACAGTTTCTTTCGGCAACTTTATTTCTCTATGGGGAATAGGAATACTGACATATATTGTATTAAAAAATGACGTGTTCAAAATCCCTTATAAAGATGACCATGATTCAGAAAGTTAAATTCAAAAAGGTTTATTTCCCTAATACAAAAAGAATCTAAAACAGCTGTTCAGACCAAAAGTAACTATCCCTTATTCTCTATATAAAGTATAAAAGTATAACTCTGAGTGGGCGCTCCACATCAAGTCACACACTGTCCCTGGTCCGGTAAAAAAACTAACTAAACACATTCAAGCTATTCATTAAGTAAATGTGCAGGAAGAAGGGGGCGTGTCGTATCAGGCAGGTCTTGGGTCCAGGGTCCGGCCTCTTCCATCATGTCCCCTCTGTCTCGTCGGACCTGAACAGAAATCATTCACGCACTACCCCTCCCTAATTCTATAGAAATATTACTTCCTTGAGATAAGGCCGGAGGCTCTCTGGGTCCCCCTCCTTATTCAAACAACTGGAAGGATTAGCAGAATCCCCCCAGATTACCTATCATTAACTCACCCATGCACTTTGGACAAAAATGGGACCAGGGGAGAAGAGCAATACAAGGTCTTTTTTTTTTTTGCTTGGAAAAATACAGAGTTCAATTCCGGGTCAATCAAATTCACATCGGCTTTTAGTCTATATTTAATACAACACATACAAGTTAAAAGACACACACAGTTACACAACCCTAGCAGAGCCTATAAGTTGTTTCTGCTTTCATGTAAAAACACATGTAGTGCTATTTTTGTAGATCTGCTTCAACATTGAAAACATAAATATTACAGACACGATATCCACTTTGTTTTCAAGAATACCAACAGAACAGGTAAAATATGATTTTTTGCATGTCAACCTATTATGTGGAGACACATACAAAAAAGATGTAGATGTGATTTAAAAGGAAACAAATAAATACTGCCCCTTTATCACTAGGACTGCTAGACTTTAATTTATTCTTTTAATGTATTCATTTATTTCAAACCTGCAAGTGTATACAAACATGAAAACAAAAATACAAAGTCTGCTTGGTTTGAAAAGGGGATGATGGCAGCTTAGTCTTATATAAAACAACCCCTTCCACACACACACACACACACACACACACACACACACATACGCGTTTGCGTGACAAATGAGGACCTATGTCTGCACTGTGACATATCAGGAGGTGCCTTTCTGAAGGTCCCAGAGACCTGAGGATCACATAGGGGGAGCAGGGTGTGTTCAGTAACACAGCTAGCTGTTGATATTTTGGTTACAAGAAACTTTTTTCCCGCAAGATTTTATTGCCACATATGAGGACTTTGACAGGTCTGAGTGACATATAAGGTCCTACAACAAACACATCAGGTCTGAGTGACATATAAGGACCTACAAAAACACATCAGGTCTGAGTGAGATATAAGGACCTACAAAAACACATCAGGTCTGAGTGACAAATAAGGACCTACAACACACAAATCAGGTCTGAGTGACAACCTATACGCTCCGCCTCCTCCACACACTCTGACCACAACCTAAACGCTCCTCCTCCTCCTCCTCCACACACTGACAACATACCCTCCTTCTCCATCTCCTCCTCCACACACACTGACCACAACACGGGGTTTTATGCCCAAAATCCACTGCACTCACAGTGGACGCTAAAGCTGAGCATGCAGTGTTTGCTAATGCT